TTGAGTGAGCGAGTGTCAAAATAGTCAGAGCGATGGAGAAGAAACGCAAGGAATGTGCCGTGAAATAGCGTGAAAAAAAAAAGAAACTTCAAAGGCCCTTCAAGTGGCTGATGAGGATAGTAAGCAGGATAAGGAGAGAAATAAGTGAGTGTAGAGAACTGTGGTAAGCAGAACTAGGCTACTTTCAGAACACTTACGGTACTGATCCACTTGTCCGTGCGACACTTCAGTCGCGCCGCACTCCACTTTATTCCTATGGGTGACGTCACGCGACTTTAACGCGCCCGCAAAGCATCCCGGGAAGGCGGCGCTTCATTTGGAAAAATGCTGCGCGTCAAAAAGCTGGCCGATGCCCAGCTTTATGTAAATGAATCCGTCAAACGCGACGCGTCTATCCAATAGAAGTAGTCTCTCGAGGGGCCTTTGTTCTAGACTGGCCGCTGGGTCAAAACCACGCCCATAGCGGTAAACTTGAGGAACGCGCATCAACTTACAAATGTGGAGAGGGTGCGACACCACGCTTCAGTCGTGTCGCAAAAATGGATCAGTACCGTTAGGCTGTAGGAACCCACTACAGTTACACATTATTTCCACATCTGCATATTTGATGATTACGCATTATTAGAATTGTAATGAGACAATAATAAGTAATGAGTTTGTAAACCATGTTTTTCGCCAAAATAAAAGCTTGATGCCGTTTCCGTCAAAATAAAAGATCATGTGTTTATCTCTTTCAAGTATAGAAATTAGTACGAAACTAATTATGAAAGTTGCTTTTATTTTTCAGTGCATTTGTTTTACAACATATGGCTATTACTGCCATAGGATTAATATTATAACTATATAGTAGTGTAATGTATACAGACACTATATTACAACTAAAAGAGTTTTGAGTTTTTCTTTGTTCAATTTGCACACTGAATATGGGATGGAGCTCTTTATTTTGAACTCTCAAAGTGCACCAGATTGATGAATTTAACATTAAAAAGCACAAAACTTTCTTACGGGGAGGCATGCCCCCGAACCCCCCTAGAGGGACAGAGGTGCACTCACCACAGATTTCACTAAATCCTGATTCAGTTATAACATGGCATTACTGGTTTTAATAGGAGTTGGTATACATATTCAAGGGCGTGCAAAGTTCGGTTGTGTTTATGATCATATGTAGTGGGCCGGTCTGGGCCAAAATGCCCGGGCCGATTTTTTGTCCCAGTCCAGCCCTGGGTTCAACTTTATGCGGATGATACTGTCATATATACTTCTAATTCTGACCCTATACAAATTCAATTATCTCTTCAATCGGATTTTAACAGTTTACAAGACTGGCTTTTGGCTAATAAATTAGTGCTTAATAAAACCAAGTCATATACTATGATCTTTGGTTCTAGACATAAACTTAACTCTAAAACCAGTTCTTGTGCTATATTATGTAAAGACGGTACTCCTCTGCATAGAGTTGACACTATTAAATACCTTGGTGTATGGCTTGACTCTAAACTTTCCTTTAAACCTCACATTAATCATGTCTTACGAAAAGTCAATGTTGGAATGAGTATCTTGCATCGATCTCGAAATTGCTTTACTTATAGTGTTCGTAAGAAACTAGCTGCTCAATTAATATTTCCGTTTTTTGATTAACTGTGATGTGGTTTATCAGACGGCATTAAAATCTGATCTTGTCTTACTTAATTCGGCATATAATAGAATTTGCAGATTTGTTTTAGGATGTTCTTTTTCCACTCACCACTGCATAATGTATGATGCACTTCAGTGGCCACCTTTGAATGTGAGAAGGCAGATGCACTGGCTCCAATTTCTATTTAAATGTATTTACTTTGATTATCCTGGTTATCTACAACAATATTTTGTACTCTTTTCCTTAAACTATCAAGTTAGGCATTCTGTCCAGACTTACTTTCTTGTTCCTCGTGTTAAAAAAACAATTGGTAAGAGAGCATTTATGTTTAAAGCCCTATTAGATTGGAATAATTTACCTATAGATATTAGATCCATTACTTCACTTCGGTTGTTTAAACAATCTTTATTATTTTATTTGAAAGTAAATTGCACATGCTATCATTGAAACTGGTGTTGTAGTTTTGTGTATTGTTGCTTATATATATATTTTTGTATTTATTTTATTTTGCTTTTTTTATTTTTGGTGTCTTGTTGTTTGATGTATTGTTAATTGTAATTTTGTTATGTTTTTTTTGTTTTGTTTTTTTTGGTTCTAATTGTGTTTCATTGTAAGGATCCCCTCAAAAACGAGATGATACATCTCAAGGGGTTAATCCTAATAAATTCTAATAATAATGCCGGAGTTGTCCTTTAAAACAAAGAGAAGTCACAATTCACACTTAAATCGCTATTCTAGACATTAGCATTAGGCTATTAAATTGTTGATAATGAAGGAATTAAACAATTTAAGCTACATGTAGTGATATTTCTGACAAAAAAGTTTATTACTAAATATTTAATTATTTCAATAATTGAGATATATCCAGCTGCAGACCCGCAGCACCACCAGTTTCAGAACCCCAGTGCCAGAACCCCAGTGCCAGACCCGGAAGTGAGGGAGGGGCGGAATTATTGACAATGGCACTAGCATGGGTATTTTTGCAAGTATTTAAAAATATTTAAAATTGTTGCATCTTTTAAATAATATTTAGGGTATTTTTATATTACACAGTGAGTCTATAGGAATACCAGACTTACATTTCACTGCTCGTTGTATGAACTATAACTGGTATGTGACAAATAAAGAGCAAGACAGCGCTCGTGTTGTTTGAAGACAGAGTGCGCGCGCGCGGCCAGGGCTCGCTCTCTCTCTGCTCGTTAAGCGCCCGTCATGCGCAGCAGTCATTCTATTCTACATCACTCACCGATCAAAATAGGCTTTGGCGGGACACAAATTTGCTTTGGCGGCCGCCAAAAAGCGGACGATCTGACGGGTTTTAGAAGATTAAATACAACCTGAAACTAAAAAACAGACCCGACCTCTATTTGAGACCGGCCTTTATTGACCCAAACCTGCAGCCACACCAGGCGTGTGTAGGCTAAAGAGACAATCGGCTATTTGGGACTCGGCTATTATTTGAAGTTTTACGGTACATTTTTATTGTTTCTTTTAAAACAATGCCGAATGTTCAAAGATTTTGGACATTATTTTACATAAAGAAAAATGCATGCTGCACATGTTCTTGTGAAATAAAGTATATTTTATATAAAATGCCCATTTGCATTATTTTTTTTACCATCATGACCAGGAAGTAACTCTCATAATACAATGAAACGGATAACTATATACAATTATATTACACAAAATCATTGTTTTAAAATGCTTATTGTACTATACCTTAATGTATCATTATAATACGTATAAAGTATGACGTTTCGTGTGTAATAATGCCGTTTCGTGTCTAAGCAAATTACGCTCCAAAACGTTAGGTGGCGTTACTCGGTTTAGAACGTAAGCTCCGCCCCTCACTTCCGGTCCTGGCGCTGGTGTTAGAACGTAAGCTCCGCCCCTACTTCCGGTTCTGGCGCTGGGGTTCTGAAACTGGTGGTGCTACGGGTCTGCAGCTGGATACTATTGCAATAATTGAAGAAATAAAACGCTACTTCATTTTGGGCCAGCTTTTCCCAAGCAAAACTAAATATAATCTTCAAACATGTTCATTTGTTGTCATGAACAAAATGTTCAACTCAATATTAAATTCCACAGGGATCTTTGGATCTTTACAACCAGGGTGCATGCGATAAATAAAATAAAAAAAATCTCAAACCACAGTGCGTCGTGGTGCTGCTGTTAAACTAAATAACATTTATAGAATAATTATGAATTTAGATTAAATAATTTATTTGTCGAAATGTTGCGATATTTTTCTATTTGTTTTTACATTTTAATTCAGGGCGATTTAGCCTACATTTAATTAGAACGAGATGTTCACCCTTGCCTTGTCCTTTCCTCATTGGGAAGCGCTCACATCATAGCTAAACATGTTTGAGTAGACCCTCTGTACCTCTCGGTTTCAGATGGATTACATAATCAGTAGGGGTTTACAAAATTCACAGTTCGGTTCGATGCGATACACTTGTGTCACGGTTCGGTACATTTTCGATACAGCAAAAAGAAAGAAATGGCAGAGAAATTTCCTTGATGTAATTTTTTAAATTATATTTTTATTGAAACTAACATCATAAAGTATGATATTTTTTTACTTTGAGCAATGATGGAGCTGTACTTGACTTTTCTTAGGAGCTTATAAAACAAAACAGCTCCTTGGACAAAATGAAATGTAATATTTTAGTAGTTATAAACAAAGGTTTATTTTAGTTCAGATTAACATTTGAGGGCAGCAATTGTATATGTCAAAATAAAACCGACGTGATGTTACTTGAAAGCATTATAGCCTTCTATTCCTACCAAACTTCCATGGTTACAGTTAGTAGTGTTACTACAGTAAATCCATGATGAATGTTGCTGATCTGTGGACACTGGATAGTTCATTCATGGCACAATGTTTCTTCCTGGTTTCCACGTCAGCGCTGTTTGATCCGTTAATAACGGAGAAATGTGAATGTTTCTCACCAGATCTCGCAGCAATATTATTACTTCAGTGTAGCCTGGGTTTCCCCATGCTGACTTGCCGCAGTGCGATTTTATTCACAAGGGAATAAAACCACCAACCTCAGAGTCCATCATCCTGCAGATTTCGCCACTGTACAGAGAATAAGTTGTTTGTGCTAGTCCTGAAATGGGAAATGTTACAATAACCTGTTAACGGTTTATGTCTTTCTATGTTTTGTTTTTATTTTAGATCCCTTGATGTTTTTAGTCCAAAATTGTGCTCATTTGGATAAAAACTTAAGGATTATTGTAAGTTTACTTCAAATATCTTTAAAATGAATGTTTTGTTGTATTTTTACAAAGTCTGGTCTTAATGTTCCATAAATCTCAGAATTTTATCATTGATTTAATTAAATATGACAACAAGCTGCCAATGTTATCTTTTAAATGAGTCTACAAAGTTTTAAGTCCAAAGGCTTCCTGAACTATGTATTTCAATTTGGATATGCCATTTATTGGATTTGGGTTCCAAATGGGGATGGCTTATGGTATTAGTTGTGTTGTTAAAGCTTATTTATAATACTGTTGAACTTAAAACTTTTTTAAAGGTTTCAATAGATATCGCAATATATTGTTACCGTGAATTCTTTTGGCCACGATAATCACGGTGTGAAAAGTCTGATATTAGGGGCTTTCACACCGGAGGAACCTTTTCATAGTTCCAAGAACTATTGGCGAAAGTACCCGGATTTTGGCGCGTTCGCACCGCAGGAACTAGAAACTATTTTAGTTCTATGAATTTTTTTGGAAAAACTAATTTAGCTCCTACTTCAGAGTAGGGTCTAAACCAGCATTATAGGAACTATCCGTGACGCAAGTGTACGCTGATTGGCCGAACGCACGCGGCTGTGTAAACAAAGATTATAGCCTATATATTTACTCCAGAAAGTAACTCTGCGAACATGGAAAACAGTGATAGATGAGCCTCTTAACCTTTACGCTGAGGAGAAAATCCAACGCAACTTTGAACGGACCAAGAGAAACATGATTAGGCTATGTATTTCTGCTCAGCTAGCGACACTGGACATCAACCACACGGCATATGCTAATAACTTTTCACACAACTAAGTTCCAAGAACTATCCGGTGCGAAAGCCCCTGAAGTGACAGCCCTAGTTTGCATTGCTATTTCAGAGCGAGACAGAACTAATATTTTGATTCAGAGGAAGCAAAAAAAGAATGGAATGACTCCTCTATACAATCGAAATTAGAGGGAGTCAGTAGTGTTATGTGAAGAAGAAAAAAAGTCTCAAAGCCTCATAACATTCAGAATTCCACAATTTCGTGAGTTTGCAAATGACTTTTCAGGTCTCTTTGATATGTGAAACTCTTCTCGCACTGAAGACATTTGAAAGGCTTCTCGCCAGTGTGAAGCCTCATGTGAGTCTGAAGATTTCCTTTAAGTGTGAAACTCTTTCCACAATGAGGGCATATGAAAGGCTTCTCTCCAGTGTGAAGTTTAATGTGAGTGTTTAGGCTTCTTTTATGACTGAAACTCTTTCCACATTGAGGACATATAAAACAATACTCTCCTGAGTGAATCCTCATGTGGCATTGAAGGGTTTCTTTACAACTGAATCGCTTTCCACACTGAGCACATATGCAAGGCTTCTTTCCAGTGTGAATGTTCATGTGAGTATTAAGACTTTCTTTTCGTGAGAAGCTCTTCCAACACACATTGCAGGTGAAAGGGTTTTCTCCAGTATGAATTCTCATGTGGGCATTTAGGTTTCCTTTATGAGTAAAAAACTGTCCACATTGAGTGCAATTATAAGGCTTCTCTCCAGTGTGAACTCTCATGTGGGCTTTAAGGTTTTGGTTTTGAGTGAAACTCTTTCCACACTGAAGGCAGGTGTAAGGCTTCTCTCCAGTGTGAACTCTCATGTGGACTTCAAGGTTTTGTTTTGAATTTAAACTCCTTCCACACTGGAAGCAGGTAAAGTAACTGTTAGAGTCGTTCTTCTGAGCTCTTTTTCGTGAGGAAGTCTTTTCAGTCTTTGTGGATTTTTCTCCAGTCATGAAATCATGATGTTTCTCATTCTGATTTTCCATTTCATTTAGTTCTCCACTCTCCTCTTTTAGTGACATAAGGTCTAAAGTGAAAAAACAAACAAAAACAACAACAAATAAAAGCTAAACCCCCACAAAGCAATACGAATAGATCTACTATAAAATCATTGGACAACATAGACCATGGTATTGTTTAGGTTCTATGTTTCGCTAAAACTTTGCTTGCTTAAATGAAGAAATTAAGTGACACAGGGCTCAGTATTAAGTATTATTATTTTCTCCTTGTGTACTCTGAACTATAGAGACACAATATCATTAGTTTCACTGTTTTGGCACTGATACTTCTATAAATAAATGTTGGGGATACAATTTGCAAGTGGCAATACAACAGTTCAATAAACATGAAGTTTATACTAATAGACTTGCATTTTAGACACAATATTGTTAAAAGAAAGAGTTCCAAACAAAGCCACATCAGAATCTTTGCATATCCAAGGAGCACACAGAGGTGTTTTGTTAATGATTGATCCAGCGTTGTTGAATGAATCGAGTGAGTCAATGATTTAAAGGGTTCAGAACCGGAAGAGAATACAATGCTGAATAAAGCCGTAGTTTTTGTTATTTTTGGACCAAAATGTATTTTCAATGCTTCAAAACATTCTAACTAACCCACTGATGTCACATGGACTACTTTGATGATGTCTTTATTTCCTTTCTGGACAAGGACAGTATACCGTACATACATTTCCAAAGGAGGGACAGAAAGCTCTCGGACTAAATCTAAAATATCTTAAACTGTGTTCCGAAGATGAACGGAGGTCTTACGGGCTTGGGACGAGGGTGAGTCATTAAAGTCCCTGTAAAGTCAAAATTAAGTATGTGTTCTGAGTTGTCACACCACAGAAAAATGTGTTATTAGCCACCCAGCCAAATTTGAATGATAAAAAAAGCCGGCAAGTACATAAAATAAGCTATCGAAATCTTGAAATAATTAGCATTATTCTCTGCTCTCAAACGCTGGGGGCGTATCCACTGGCTGCGCTGAAACCACGCCCACTCGCGGGCAACCAGCCGACGGTGATATTAGGGGATACTGCTTTCGGGACGGGAGGATGAAGGCCGAGGCGGGAGATAGTCGGTTCGGCCCCATTTACCAGTAACAGCGGATTATCAGTGAATCCCAGTTGTCTCCGACGAAAGTTTATAAAACTATCCCGTGTAAATCACTACAGGCGGGTGTTGGTGGTGGTGATCCTCAGCTTTCCATCAAGGTTGGCTCTTCACAAAATGAATCCACCTTGATGTGTGGATGTGATGATCGTTTTTAGGAAATTTAAATAAAGACACCGATCTGTTTTGTACATGATCGCATCCAGTTAGTAGCCTACGCATTTCCGTGTCGAAGGCATAGCTAGCTAGCAAACTGTAGGCTGTAGTAACTAATAGTTCGGGATTGAGCGCCAAACTGATGCGAATGTGCTCTATTGTTAGGGGAGGGGCCAGCCTCAGTGGCCTTAGTCTGTCATCAAGTAGGGGCGTGTCCAGGGGCTCCAGTGCGTCATTGAGCCCTGTTTTAGCCCCGCCCAAAAAATCCGGAAAATAGCAATGGTGAAAAACTGTTTAACGGTCTAACTCCACAATTCAGTACTTCAGTTCACAGTCTTTGTATTATGTTTTAGCAATACATTTCTAACATTTATAATGTGTTTAGCAATTATTTTTTAGAATTGCCTTTACAGGGACTTTAATGACATCATTTTCATTTTTGGGCGAACTAACCCTTTAAAGGGTTAGTTCACCCAAAAAGGAAACAATTGTCATCAATTACTTACCCTTATGTGGTTCAAAACCCATAAAACTTTTGTTGATCTTCAAAACACAAATGAAGATATTTTAAATGACATTTGAGAGATTTCTGTCCCTCTGTTGATAGTCTATGCAACTACCTTTTTGTCGATTTGAAAAATTCATAACGGATTGTAAAACTAATCCATATGAATCGAATGATTTAGTCAAAATCTTCTGAAGAGACTAAATTATATTATATGCTTTATATGATGAACATATTGAATTTATGCTTTTATTCACATCTAAACATAGATCAGAAAACATAAACAGAAGCTCAACTGAACCTGCTTGACACGTGAGAACAAACCTCATTGTTTTCAAGCTCAAACGTGCTGCATAACACAAGAATGAACCTCATTGGTTCTCGCACGTCAAGCAAACATGCTTGACCTTCCGTTTACCACAACTGATGTGCGAGTTGATGAATGTTTATTTGTGAATAAAAGCCTAAATTCAATCATGTAATATGATCGTGTCTCGTCAGAAAATTGACTAAACTGCACAATTCATATGGATTAGTTTAAAGATCTCTTTTTGAAGCGTCAAAGTGGTAGTTGCATGGACTGTCAATGGATGGACAGAAAACTCTGAGATTTCATAAAAAATATCTTAATTTGTAGCTATGTTTCCATCCACACGTTTTTATCCGCATTAAGTGATATCGAATGAAAAATGCCTTATGGAAACAGTAAAATTCGATTGAATTTCATGAATATCGACTCCAATGAAATACGATCGGTCTCATCCGATTTTATCTTGATCGATATACGGCTTATGCGATAAACGTGGATGGAAACGTTATTATGGTGCGATCCATTTTGCCTAGTAAAACTTTGTTCGCAAATGTTGGCTTGAATGTTGTGCAATTAGGTGAGAAAATGAATGGAAACACCTTAACATGTCTCAAATCAATTTGATATACCAATTTGATCGCAAAACAGCATGTGACGTCATTACGCAGAGGTTTTTATCCGCTTTAAAGCCGTTTAATGGAAACACACTTTCACCAGCTTTATTCGCATGAGGTTTTTTACCGAACTTCAGATAATTCGATTGACAAGTGGATGGAAACATGGCTTGTGTTCCGAAGATGAACGAAAGTCTTACAGGTTTGGAACTACACGAGGGTGAGTAATTGGTATTTGAAAATAAAAAAAACTATTTTAATTTTTGGGTGAACTTTCCCTTTAATGACCAATTCATAGACAGTCATTTGTTTTTTCCCTGAATAAATCAGCTATTTTAAATGAATCATTTGAATCAATGATTTGATGACTCACTCATTAAGACGATGACTCGCTACCACCTACCAGTGTTAGTAGTTTCATATTTAAAAGTATTGTTTCAGTTTTTCATATAAATATCTTGTCTTTTTTTTTTGCATCTTAACATTAGTGTTTCTGGTGGCAAGTCTTTTATGAATGGTAATGAATGATTTTGAAGAGATATTTTAATCATCTGTACAGTGTTTTAATAATATTAGGCTGATATGTACATACAAACAATGTTCTAGAACAAAAGTAAAGTTAAACTCACCTGATGCATAATTAGGGGTTCTTAAACTTTTTGGAGCCAGGGACCCCTTATAGGGTAGAAAACTTTCCCAAGGACCGCCTCATAAATATAATGGCAAATAAACCCACAGTTATTGTTAGATGGGAGTAATAAACACAATATGCTTGTTTTATATGGACTAATAATACAGCAGCACTAGGTCAACCTTAAAGGGCATTTAAGGTTGCAGTAAATAAGTTTTAAAGGGCAGTAGCATTTTATTATTATATTCAAAATTAATGTAAAATACCAGTAGATAAAAGCTAAATATTTACAAACATTATAAACATGTATTTTATTTGCCCATATGTTTATTTTATAGTAGCCTATCAAATAAATGATAGTTGCATTCATTACAAACAACATTTATTTTAAAGCCTAAACGAATGTTATAGCATACTTGCCTCACAGACATGAGAACTGATATAAAACCTTTAACCCTTGTGTTCTGTTCGATTTCTGTGTACACCCCTTATGGACCGGGTCAAATTGACCCTAATTGGATTCAATACAATTCCTCAAAAATCACACTATGAAAAACAACAAAGATTTAGATACAAACTGTAAACTTTTAATAGCAACATTTGTCAAACATTACAAAAACATTATATCTGAAAATATGATTTATGAAAATGTTTTTTTGTTTGTTTTTGTTTTTACATTTTATGCTTTGAACATCGTAACTGAACAAAAAAAATTGCTGCATAATGAAAATGTTTCATTTTCCTAAGTTAACTTTCCCTAGTTTCCTAAGACCTATTTTCCTAGTTTCATTCAGGGCTCGAGACTAACGGCATCCTATCGTCCTGGGGACGATAGAAAACGTGTTTAGGACAAACAGAAATATTCTCCAGGACGCCTACAGGACGAAAGATATTTTTGTATGTGTGTTCATTTATTTCTAACTTACGGGCTAACTTACTTAGAAAATGTCAAAATTAACCGACCAAGTGCTGACTACAACGGAGCGCGTCTTCTCATGCTATATAGCCTAACGTTGCTATCACCGGCTACTCACCCAGAGACTTGTTCCGCGGTACATCTATCAAATGGCTTAATGACATCGTAAATATGTTGCGCTGGTTAAACAACAGATATTCAACGAATAAAAACTAGACAAAAATGTTAGATAGTGACGATTTGGGAAGCGATCAGTCATAATGATGTCCTGCGTGTAGATGCGCACATTTGTACGGTAACGTGCTGATCTACCCAGCGGGACACGGGTTGACATGCGCTGCATGTTTCATAAAACGTTAAAATATGTAAACGTCTGGGAGAATGAGTCGAGCAGATATATATATATATATAGATATATATATATAGATATATATATAGATATATATATATATATAGATATATAGATATAGATATATAGATATAGATATATAGATATAGATATAGATATATAGATATAGATATATATATATATGAATAAGAGTGACGACGCAAAAAATAGCTCTATTCGGTTTTCTGTGCGCACACACCCGACCGAAGCGTGCAGCCATGCACATAGACGCCTATACAGCGCGCGAGGACTGATTGAGCTCTCTTTCGTGTCTGAGTGGACAAATACACACAACATTATGTCTAAATGTCCGTTTTGGAGAGTATTCATGCAAACTATTTTGGTTATGTCTTAAACAGTTGTGAGAGAATCGGATGTGCATCAGTGCAATTGTATCCGCATGTCATTAGACATGATCCGTCGTCTTAAAGTGACAGTGCGTAATAAACCTAATGCGGTCTGTGTCCTTAATATTGATCAAGCAACAAAAGAAAAAGAGAAAAGCATTCACTGCTCGTTAATAGCTTTAATGTTATATTTAATATAATTAGTTCATACAAATAACTGTCTGCTGCTTGAAAGAATAAAGAATTATGTATGCAAGTAGTTATAAAGAATGCATTGCATATATCATTAATTGAAAAGAAGACTGTTCTATTTTAGGAAAAGTGGTTTTATTTAATTTTAAGATATTTTAAGCAGTTAAATCTGTATCTGTATTGCATGTTCAAACTTTAAAATCATTCATATTAACAGGTTAATAGATGTTTTCTCCAGCACGAAGATCTCAGTACAAAGACTGAGATGAAAACAGAATTTCCCCCAAATTCTGTGTTCTAGGGAAGTCATATTACACTTTTTAAAGCCCTTTCTCTTATTAACACGTTTCCAGATGATCAGCTATGACACATTACCACTTTGAGATATTTAGTCACCAGTATTTATTTGTTATTGTTTAATCCAACCAACTCAAAAACGTTTTGAGCTGTATGTATTTTTCTCTTAATTTTCGTAGCCTATATGTAAAAAAAGAAGAAAAAAGAAAAAGAAAAAATTATTCTGCATGAATACAAAAAAACTACCAACAACTATAACTATAGATCATAATAACAAAGTACAGAAACAACAGTTTTATTTTGGGACGTTTGACATTCACTTTAGGACGGTTCAAATTGGTTTTCAGGACGGTTCCAGGACGGAGGTGAAAAAAGTTAGTCTGGAGCCCTGGTTTCATTATTCACTCACGGGGAAGTGAGAAACCAAACATAACAAAAACATACATCAAATAAATGTTTTTTTATTTATTTTTTTGGCTCTGTGAAGCTGCCTTTGAAAATCCTACATAAAAGTTTTGGTTAAAAGCTAGGTATTTTAGATACGTTGAATATTGAAATGAGAGCTTATTTTACTATCTGTGTCTGACAAAGATTTTCATCTGTAATTTGCAAATAATTCTGAACACTGTAATTTTAGCTTTTTCAAGTGTGTTTGGTTAGGGTTAGAGCACTTTTAGATACACTTGCACGTTAGAACTGGAGTTGAAGTACCCTGACATACAGAAAATAAATGTTTTTATTTTGTGTCTGTACAGTTGCTTTTGAATGGCTGTCTATGAGTGTCAAATTGACCCGCGAACATCACGAACGAAACAGTAATTTTGTTTGTATATGTCAAAACACATCAGCATGTTGAAACTTTGCATGCATGTTCATCATGATAAATGAGAAAGTGTCACAAAATATCAAGAAAAAAAAACAAAGGTTAACCAGTATTTCCAACAACTTGAAAATCGAAACGGGTCAAATTGACCCGCAACATAACACAAGGGTTAAGCAGGCCTATCTACTTTTAAGCGTCTATGTTTATGTTATTTGACGTTAAATGCATATTTGTACTATGTCACCGCACCTTTAAAATGATACAAAAAAAACCCGCAACTTATTGTCCATAAAATAAGTTTTTCGACCCCACTTTAATAAGGTTCAAATGAATGAGTTCAGCTTTGAGAATGAAACCAACCTGTTTGTTCCTCAGGATCTTCAAGTTTCACTATGAGTATTTCTTCAATCTTCATGTCTTCACTCTCTTCTTTAATAAACTCCATCTTTATAACAGTATGTAATGTGGATCTCAGTTGCTTCACCAGGAGTTTTTCCGTGTGTTTGGACACTCTGTCATGTACAAGATGAGAAAAATGAACAGAAAAAAAAAAAATTCCAAACTAAATCTGCGTCTCAATAAGCTCCAGAGTTCAGAAGTCAGAGAGTTAATGGTTTCTAATTATGACTTTGTTCAATTTGTACACTAAATAAGGGGTCCAAGAGGGAATGAGGCACACCCACCACAGTTTCACAAAATCATGTGGGAAACACTGTAAAATCGTTATATCATCCAGCCCTAAATCTGATCGATGTTAAAGAGTTAAGCTATTATAAACATAATATGATTTTCTGTAAAGCTAACGTTACTTTGAAACTATGTGTTTTGTGGGAAGAAACAGATTTAACTTGACTGATTAATGTTGCACCAAACAATATTAATTTTATATAATAGACAGTACACTATATATCATTGTAAATTATGAAGGCACATTTTGGTGTTTTTAACTCGGTTCCACTTTCACCGGAGTTCCATTGTTTTTCTTCCACTCTGGAAAGCTCTCATCACTTGCTAATGCCCGAATTTGTAAAATGAGACGCATCTTTTCTGGTACTAGTGTTGTGAGGCTTTTCTCACAAAAATGACGTTCATACATGTCAGATAAAGCAAAACAGTTAATTTACATCGTTTGCATATAAAAAAATATAAACACCGAATGTCTTAAACACACACAATTTAAACAGTTAAAAACACAAACCTTTCTTCTGCGAAATGCAGGAGGAGCGCGGCGCCGCCTTATGACGTCATATCATCATGCCAAAATAAAAGTCCTAATCACGTTTTCAAATATCAAAACCAGGGGTGAGGGGTCGGGAACTTTTTTCAAAAACAAGCCCTTTATTTTTTTTTTAGTGCCACAGTAAAAACTATTATTTTACTTTTATAAAATGAGCAAGGATTAAACATGAGCCAGATTATTCAAAACAAAAAATATGCAAAAATAGGTAACATATTGCAATGTGTTATTATTAACTGAAAAAAAAAAAAAAATTACATTCCCAAATGTCCTATGTAGTAATCTCAGTGATCTATTATATAATATCATCACATTCCTTGTAGACCCAGGTGAAAAAAATATATACTTTAGTATATTTCAAACATATTCACATTTTCAATAGTACATTTTAAATATGCTAAGAAAGAAGTGTACTATCTGTAAATATGTAAAAAGTACACTAACATCATGCTTGGACCAATTTTGGAATTAAAACTTTGAACACACTTTAAAATAATTGTACTACAATACACTTTTAAGAAATATATTATATAAAAGTATACTTTTAGTTAATTGTATATTTAATTTCTAAAGTGTACCACTAGAACGTCTTTTAAAAACATGTTTTTTGTATATTTTAAAATGTATGCTTAAAATGAACTTTGTAACAGTTCACTAAAAGCTTATTTTACAAATAAACATTTAAATATGATGAAATTTTAGACTATTTTAAGTTACATTCGAGTAAATATTAAGTAAACTCACTCATGCTTGTATGTAAGTACATTATTTGTACATTTCCTTTGGAATGTTTACATGTATTAATGCATAATATATTGATAGCCCATTCATAATATTTTTCAATAAAATACACAAATAGCTACTCCCATGTAATGTTTAATAAGTTTATATTGTTACAATACATCTTACACACTAAAACCATGTCAAACACAACACTAAAAGCACACATCAAAAGGGTACTTGCACACAAGAAATTTAGAGTAACAGTAAGTTGTTTAAAGTTGTTGCAGCCACTACATTGTGATTTTGCAGGTGGCACCCCTCACACTACATTTGACAAATAAATGGTGGCTACATTGCATGCAAAAACAGTCCAAACATTAAAATCCTAACCAGTGTTCAAAAAATACGAACATTGTTTTTTTATTGTAGGAAAAAAATGGCTAATGCAAATAACAAAAACAGATCATGTGGGTCTTTGGTACAGGACAAATTAGGGGAAGTTGGTTTGGCATCAATATCTAAAATGCTGTAGAAGTAGCTCCTATATGATCTTATTACTTTTTAGTCACTTTCAACAGTGTTAGGTAGTGGAATGACATACATTTTGGTCTTCGACTTAACCATTACACATTTACGTTTCAGTGATTGAGGATGCACGGCAAATACATTGTTAGTGTGAGACACTTCATTTATAAATGTGGAGGATATATTTAGCTGAACATCTCTACAAACCTTTCCTCCGCTCTTGGCAAGCTCTTTTACTAAAACACAGAAGTCATTTGTGGCAGATGCTGAAGGTGTCCCATTGTCAGATGTAAAAGCCACTAGGGTCATAATTTCACATAATGTCCCATCACTTAACTGTACAACCGAATTATTTCTCTTTTTAAGGGTAGTGTTGTTATATGAATGATAAACAACACTGCTACAAATAAATCGGTCATAAAAAAAACCTGAATGAACTGTCACTCCTTTAAAATGTTCAATAGCCATCCTTTGCAACACAGATGTGCTACCTTTCTTTGGGCATCCAAAACCTCTGACATTATTTTGAAACTCCCTTGACTTATTTCTTAAGCCAGAACTACTTTGTAGTTTCTCAAATAATTTCCTTATGCTGTCATTAGCATTTGCCATAGTAGTGCCTGCTTTTATTGAGAGACTTCTCCACCTAAGGAATCTTTTCACTATTTGAGTTGGCACATGTGTTGTTCCATTGAAAAACTTAATCAACGTCCCATTAAATGATTCAAATGGAAATGTGGATGTGGCCCACAGTGGTCCCCAGTTGCGCACACTTGCTGCCAGGTGCATTAACAAATGAACATTGAAAGACACATTGGCAGCACCATACAGTTTCTCAAAGTTAAGTACAAACTTTCGCAGAGCTTGTTCTGCCACATCCACATGGCTCACTTTGATGGCATCCTGTAGAAGAGTGTGCATTGCAAAAACTAATAAAAATAGGTGATTCCAGTACTTTTTTTTCAAAATGCCATTTAAAACAGGCAGTGCATAAAACAACAAAAATGACCGCCACTCAGATGCTTTCCAGAATTTTCTGTCCTTCACTGATCTTGGTGCCCTTGTGACCTCCACAGGTGGACAAATGGCCAGCAATTCCTGGTCTATGTCACTGACCTTGGAACCCAGGTACCAGTCTTTATTATGGTGCTTACTGTCTAGCCACAGAGATGTAATCTGTTTAGTGACACCCAGGCATACACTGTGCTGGTACTCAGGAACAAATCCAGTTATCATATTGAAGCTCCCAAGTTCCATCAAAGGGGATGGGCCTTTCACTCCCATTACGGGATTAGCAGGTGTTGCCAGAATAGCATGCTGAAAATGATCTGTCTCGTTCCGTAAAGGTGGTTCGGGAGTTTCCCAGATGTATGGGCCACCGCCAGTGTGGAGACAGAAGTCACACCCGTATTTGCCATTAAACTGTTTTGTGTTTCTCAGGAGGGGGCGGGCAACTGAATCTGAGGAGCAGATGAGTGAATGAACTTTGCTTGAATGCTCTATGTTTTCAGAGTCCCTCCATTTAATTCCATTTTCTTCCAATTCTTTCAGCTGTGACACAAAAGCTGTTAAAAAAGTGACCATATATGGCTTGCTGTTACCAAACCATAAGCATGGTATACATATGTTGGCTTGACGATCTTTTGGTAACAGCTCGATGATTTGGCACTGAATTGGCCATATCTGAATGTTGTTACTATTGAAAACTGGAATTCCATCACAATTCCAGATGATGGATATGTCGTCAGCCCCTACTCGTCCACTCTGCTTGAGTTTTTCATATTCTGCCCCACACTGAATATCTGAAACAATGCCTGGAATTGATTCCCTTTTATTTAAATGTGTGTCAGATTTTTCCAGAACGTACTCTATTTGGGTTGATAGAGTAAGTACAAGAAAGTAAGATCCTACCCTTAGGTTTTTTTCAATGTCGAATTCAGCTCTACAAGAAAAACAGTTTTTTGGAGCTGTCTCACTGGGTCCCATGTAGCTTTCACAGTCGATACAATAAAAATGGGGCACATATTGGCCAAACTGTCCATAGGCTTTATGAAAAAGATATGACGTTGCTGGCACCAAGCCAGGGAAATGTTCATTGAACATTGCAAGAAGATCCTCCAGAGCTACTCCTGTCAAATTGTGCCTCAGTACATATGACATTAGTAACAGCAGACTCTGACCTTTAGTGAGGGGAGCACCGGGGTAAACCGGATCGTCATCATGGCATTTCTGTAATAGAATACAAGATTGATTACATTCTCACCTGAAACATAATATGATACAAAAGCAGAAATAGCAATGACAGTGTTGTTCTATTAAGACAGATGAGATACAAATTTAACTTAAACTAATAGTGCACAGATAATCTGTAATTACATGGTTATACCTTCGATCGGTTTGAATCTTGATTCCCGTCTTGCCTTCTCTCTTCTCCTGCTCTCTGTTCTTTTCCACTTCCATCATCTTCCTCTCTGTCCTCTTGTCCACTTCCATCATCTTCTCTGTCCTCTTGTCCACGTCCATCATCTTCCTCTCTGTCCTCTTGTCCACTTACATACTCTTCCTCTCTGTCCTCTTGTCCACTTACGTCATCTTCCTCTCTGTCCTCTTGTCCACTTACGTCATCTTCCTCTCTGTCCTCTTGTCCACTTCCATCCTCTTCCTCTCTGTCCTCTTGTCCACTTACGTCCTCTTCCTCTCTGTCCTCTTGTTCACTTCCATCCTCTTCCTCTCTGTACATTTGTCCACTTCCATCCTCTTCCTCTCTGTCCTCTTGTCCACTTTCATCCTCTTCCTCTCTGTCCTCTTGTCCACTTCCATCCTCTTCCTCTCTGTCCTCTTGTCCACTTCCATCCTCTTCCTCTCTGTCCTCTTGTCCACTTCCATCCTCTTCCTCTCTGTCCTCTTGTCCACTTTCATCCTCTTCCTCTCTGTCCTCTTGTCCACTTCCATCCTCTTCCTCTCTGTCCTCTTGTCCACTTCCATCCTCTTCCTCTCTTTCCTCTTGTCCACTTCCATCATCTTCTCTGTCCTCTTGTCTATTTCCATCATCTTCTTCTCTTTGATGTTCTCTCTCCTCAAAACTTTGCTCTTTTCCTGATGTTACATCTTGTCTCCATGTCACCATCCCATTTTCATCACTCTCTTGCTCCACTTCTCGGTAAGTATCTGCATCACTATGATCTCTGAGACGAATCTGAGACAAATGTAAAGTCATTAAGTGAAGCTCAGTCTTAAAAAATAAGCAATATTTAGATATAGGTCTAATGCATTCTACTCCAAAGCTCATTTAAAAAAAAAAAACAGCCCGCCAACCCAGTATGCTGCACAGAGCTGTGTGATAATAGAAAAGGCTGGCTATATGGCACTAAGCCTAAAGCCATCCAGCATCTAACATTTGATTGAACATTACAATATTAAAAAAATGTCCTATTCTACACATGTAGATTTTTTTCTTGAACATACCTTTTCAAAAACTTTTCTTCTGTAAGCAGATGTTCTAGGAATTGGTGATGTAAAGAGAAATCTCTTGTATAATATTTTTTTCTGTTTCTGCAGATACAGTACAAAGCAAAAATGTATAAAGTATAAAGTTGAAAATAGCAAATTATATATATATATATATATGAGTATGTATATACACACACACATGACACATGAACAAAAATCATATGGATGTAGGATTCAAAAATAGGAAGTAGTAATATGATAATAATATGATAAAACAATTGGAGATTGATAATATTGAAAGTGAAATTATCTCTCAAAATATATATCCATCAGATGGGCCTATAACTGGGGGCTTATAATATCCAAAAAGAAAAGAGGGGAGTTTTTCTGTAAAGGGAATCAAATATGACATCCTATTAACTTGGATAAAATGAAAGCAATTAGCTGCCACGTTGTTACAATTAGTATATAGTAAATAAAAATGTTATTGCTATGACATTACTATTTATCTAATTGTGAAACAATTTTACGTTACATTACGTTATAACCATAGCCTGTATAACATTAAATAACGTAATGCCTTTATTTTATTTTTATTTTTTTAGGGCGGGATAAACTATTCACTGCATTTCATCAATTGTGTTAACTTACCTTTTTCTGTTGAAGTTTTCTGTGTTTTGTTGATTTTGGCGTCCCAGATTGAGTCTTATCTGAATTCAAATGTTCCTTCAATTTTCGTTTTGATGCCATGATGATTTTGAATCACAGACTGTATTAAACAGTCTGTTGTATGTTTTAAATATTTCGGCGCCTAGTCTCTGACCTATCAAGTGTAGCGGATTTGTTGTTAACGTCAAACCAATCAGAGCTGCAGACGTGCCCGTTAATTGCGTCCTATCCTTTTACAGTCTATGGTCCTAGCTTGCTTTGTTTCTCACGTGGATGCAGGTTTACAGGTTAGCAGGACAAAATGTCGTTCCAATTCGCCATCTATTACTTATTTAATAAAACACTAAAAGTGGAAAGTACATCGGTCATTCTTGGTAATTCCGACCATTTCAGTCAAGTGACATCCCAGCCCGACCTTGAGGACGACGATAGCTGGATTGAAATAAAATGTGCCACGAGAAAAGAACCAGATAAGACAGTGCCAGCTAAAGTCCTGCTATTTGGAGGTAAGTTTGAAGTTAACTATTATACCTATTTACTTCCCTACACGTTTTGCAAGTACTAGCTAACGTTAAAGTTAACTGTTTATTTGTGCCATTTTATAGGGAGTAGGTGTCGGTTAAACTTTTTTTTACTCCTGTCTTTTTATCAGATTCGTACAAAGAACTCATCTCAAAGAAAAATGTATTCCTTCTGGGTAAAGATATATGGGCCAAGGAGGAAAGCAGGGGTGTGAGCATGAAGAAGAAAATGCGGGAGACTAACGTGGTGGCTAGAACGGCTGTGGTGGTGAGTGGATAAGGTTACAGTAGGCCTACATAAAAAAAAAAACTTACATGCTGTCATGCTAATTTAAATAATAATGTTAGCTAACACCCAGCTGTTTTTTTGTATGGCAGAGAACTTAATATTATGCCCTGCATCCTACGTAAGTAAAATAAATAACAATATCAGCTAAATGTTGGTTAGTTGATGTTATTTAAGTAAAGTAACTTACTGGTTTGTTTACAAAATAATACATTGTCATATGTCAAATAAGCTGATGATTATTATAATACTAAAGCATCACTGCGTAAGTTTTTTTTTTCTTTAATCTATGGTTTTTGGTGAGATATTGGATGATTTGAACATTTATAGAAATGAAGATGTGAGTGAAAAACACTATTTGATGGAGCTGTTAAATTCTCATAGGCATCTGAAATGTGACCCTGACACTGCTTACTGTAAAATATCAGAATCCAACAAGGTTGAACACCGTTGGGTTAATCATCAACAATGCGATTTAAAAACAAATAAAGTGTTATATTATCCTTCAGTGTGTAAAATAGTAATTTTGTACTAGTAACTAAAGCTGTCAAATAAATGTAGTGGAGTATAAAGTACAATATTTCCCTCTGGAATTTAGTGGAGTGGAAGTATAAAGTAGCATAAATGGAAATAATCAAGTAAAGTACAAGTACTTCAAAATTAGACTTAATTACAGTACTTTAGGAAATGTACTTTCCAGTAATGTATGTAGAAGCATCCACAATTTAGTTGCATGGTAGCTGCAGGGAGCCAGGTTGGTGTATATATATCACAAATTATTATTATTGTTGTTATTATTATTATTGTTGTTATTAGAACAATCATTCAACTTCATGTTACTCACAACTGCATGAAGGCTCTGTGTGTTGCCACTGCTGCCGTGGCAGACCCCTACTTCAGATAATGGGCTGTGGTCTGCGGATGCTGATTAAATTTAATATATCTTTTTATGTAAATTTACTCTGGATTTAATGAAGCTCAGTATGCCAATGAGACTTTCACATTGTGAGGCTGTTGTTATAAATCATTTATCTTTGTTTTTATCTTATACACATTTTTGCAGGCAAAACAAACCAAGATTAAAGAGGCAGCCAGGGACCTGGTATTACAAAACCTAAAGACTTCCCTGTCTCAGAAGAGGGCCCTTGCCACACAAGATCACCACACCAGTTCTGAGGATGAATCTCCACAACGTCATTGTGTAATGCATGCTTTTTTCCTGAGAAGCTGGCTACATTGTTAACAATAGCAAAAATTGGTGTGTTTCCAACACTACAAAGTGCTTAATAAACATGTCTTGATTTGAAAATATTGGGACATAATCTATTCCCCTTGTTAATCTACTATTCATAGTTTTCAGTCACGTGACATTTGCGGTACCTGGAGGGCAAAACAGACCAACATAGCGGCTCACGCCGTGACTCCCCCATAGAGAAGCCGTAAAAGCAGTTACATTTATTTGGATCACCTTTCAACTTAAGAAAAAGAAAGATATGAGCACAAACTGCAAGTGCTGGGCTCTTTCAATCCACGTTACAGCAAGCTGGCGCATTTCTATTGTTAAAAAGCGCCAGTTGCTTCCTAGTTGGCAGGCAGCGGAAAATAATGTTTTTTTTACCTTTCAATGGAGCGTTTTTCATGGAATATGATGTCACGTTCATACATTTTACTTATCGTTAGTTATTAAGGTTTCTCCCCCTTAATTCTCTAAACTGGTCAACCACGGTTTATAATGCCAGCATCAACTAATTTTATGAAATTGTTAACTATTTTTCTACTTTTCCCATATACACATGACAGGCAAAGCATGCAAAGAAGGCAGCCAGACGTGTTTTGCCACCCCCGGCATCCAATCATAACACCAGTTCTGATGATGCCACATACATAGGCAGTCCACAACGTCCTAACATTGTAAGTCATACTTTTTTCTTAGCTTTTTTTTCTATACTCTCTCAAACACAAATACTTTATCTGTTTAATTGCTATATTGTTCTATTCTTTTTTCCAAATTTTCAGGGTAATGAATCGGATCAAGATTTATTCTCCACGCCGAGAATGGTAAGTTACTTTATTACGTAATATGACATAATTTACACATAATCACAAATGGGCTGTACTCAAGCCATAATTCAATCTCACCTGTTTTCTCCAATTTAATGTTGTCACTCTTAAATAATTTAGATGACTTTAATTTAAAAGATTTGCATCACTTTTACAATGTATACACACCTCCAGATGTTATGTTCTGTTAGGATAACATGTTGTAAATTACAAGTTATTGGGGTTTAATGTGACTAATCAAATCTATTTTTCCAAAAATCCTGTTATTCTATTCTTGATTGTAGCAGCTGATGGATGATAAAACTGGTCACAGCGTGGGACCCCATGTGGATGAAATCATGGCATCACTTCGTGGTGGGTGTTCAGATTGGGATTGAAGGGTTGACATTTCAGAACACAGTGTGTTTATTAAATTTTGATTTAGGATCGTTCCACATAATGCATGATTGCCCTGTACTGAACTTAAGTACTATTATCCATCTACTTCTGGCCAGCTTTTATATTTAATCCATTTGTTCTGTGCAACATACACAAACTAATGAAACATCATCACATTCACCTAGACCTCCCGGAATTGATCAAATTAATGAAGGAGTGTGTGGAGTGCGTCAGGGCATTAATGCCCTCAGCCGGGGGCACCCCTTCATCTGTGATGTCATCATTATCTCTTACTGCGGACATTGAAATTGAAATGGTATGTTAGAATTAAGGGATGAATTTATCTGTTTATTACTCAGCAGCCATAGTTTATTCATGGATGTTTAGAATGCTAAATTTGCAGAAAGTTGCATTTTTTTATGTTGTGTAGTGTTATTGCTAAAATGGGTCTGTAATAATACATGTGTCACGGGTTTGGGTTGGTTGGGTGGGTGTGTTTTGTATTTGTTTCTGTGTTCATTGCCTGACCTTGAGTTTGCTCTTCTCTGTAGTAGTATGTATTTGTGTTACTTTGGTCATTTGTTCGTTCGTCAGTTGTCCTTGTTATGCGTTCATCAGTGTTTCTTGTCTTGTTTTACTGTCTCTATGGCTGCTTCTCAAGTCTCTTATTTGTCGTTTCCTCGATCCTCACTTGAACCACAAGTTTTCTGCTCCGCCATCTTGCAGACGGTCACAAAGCTCTTATTTGTGCTCCGAGGATCGAGGAGCGATCTCTGAGGAGCTATGAGCGAGGATACACCAGTGCATCCTTTGCGGAAGTCTTTTACTGACCGACGCGCCCCTTACTCGGTAGCCGTTATATTGATTGGACGGTGCAGCTGATCCGACTATTCTGATGCACGATCAGATAACATTAAAGTCAAGTTCATCACTGCAAAGAGTTAGGCTATATTTGATTTGTTTTATGAATCACTGTCTAGTTATAATCTGAGTTCATTGTAGGTCTGAACAACAAAAGCCCCACACACAACTTTCTGCATTTTTTAGAAAGATTTTTTTTTTTTTTTTTTTTTTTTTTTTCATAAACTTTTATAATGGAAACAATTAAAGTCAGAGAGCGAGTCTGTCAGCAGGAAACATGTTTTACATCATTTATCGTCATTACTATTCAGTCACATTATGAGGCTGGCCATTCTTGTGTTTAGTCGAAATAGACAACTATAAAACAGCCGCTCATCCAGCCAATCTCAATACTGCATCTGATGAAAGCAGCCGCTGCTCCGCGAGTAAAATCAGCTGATGAAAGTATGAATGAAAGCTATGTGCTAAAAAAAAACAAAAAACATCGGTTTGATATGAGAGAACGCAGTGATCGATCGGTGAAGAGTGATGTGACTTTTAATAAATGTAATGTATGCAGTAGGGCTAGTGTTAAAGGATATCAGAAGAGGAAATAAACTGAAAGCTAAAAATCGTGCATCGACTTAATTACAACATTTCATTTTCTTTTAAACATTTAGCCTAATAAATCACAAGACATATTCTGGGTTATTCAATAACGAATTCAAAATCAGAATCAATAATATAAATGCAGATAGTATCAGCATTCTGCCAGTAGAAATGATCCTGTGCCTCTGAGCAGGACACAGAAACCTATACGGTAATTATTATTCATGTGCAGGTGTTTGTTTATAAACAGGTAACAGCTACAGAGAGGATCGTGCTGCTGTGCACTGATAACTGTGAGACTTTATCAGAACAGCGCACTTGTGTGCAGACACAAACTCGAGAAGCAGCCTGTTTGTTTTACTTCCTGTGCTTGTCTCTGATTGTCTGAGTAGTGTCACCTGTGTGTAATTAGTTGTATCCCTCACCTGTGTATTTAAGTGGCTGTCTGTCTATCAATTGTTGTCAGTTCATTATTGATTTTGTCATCAGTGTTTCCTGCGTTTCCAGTGTGGCGTTTGCTTGTGTTGATTTCATGCATGTATTCCTACAGTGTACTCTCAATTACTTGTGGACTACTCTCACTTTTGGATTTAAATTTTCACCTTTGGTAGGGATAAACACCTTCAATTTACCTGCTTCATCTCTGTGTCTGCATTTGGGTCCTCAAACTCTGTCTCCTGTGGCTGATGGCTGATTGTAACGTGTTATACAATTGTTTATCTTTCTGTCAATGGGAACCTTTACACCACGCGTCAAACCACTCCGTAGTGCAATATATAGACTAATACCAGTGTTTTGTAAGGAGAGAAAATTGATTTAAGCACATTGTTTTCACGTTATTTGAATGTTAAATTTCTTATCGGTAGATAGATATCTCCCAACTATATATTAATTTGGTCAATTCATTCTCTCCCTTTCCCCCTCCCTCTCTTCCATACAGCACCACTTGGCTGGCAGTGCTGTGACCGTTCCAAAGAGGGCCTTCTTGCGGCTGAACCGATCTCGAATGAGCATTTTTGCTCAAGAGCTGGCTGTCCTGGTGTTCAAAAAGGGAGTCCTTGCTCAGTCCACCCTGACTGGGAAGTCTGGGAAAGGGGCACCACCAAAAGGACAGCTGGACGTTGCCAAAGTGCAGGCCATAACGGGTAAATTACCTTGACTCTACTTGGAAAGCTTCTGCAATTGTATGTATTTTTGTAGCAGCAGTACAAACCACCAGTAATCTTTAAATGTTTTGCTATGTACTGTAGTAGGGAAAGAGCCCGACCGATATATTGGCCAGCCGATATGAGCTAATTGCATTTCATCGTCCGTTTATAACGACAGATATGACTATTCAAAAAGAAACAGACTCAGATCTTTCACTCATGTCATGGGTGTTGCAGGGCTCTCAAGTGTCACGCATTGAGCGTGACAGTCACTCATTACGGTCTTTTGTCACACTCTCCCGTCACACATTGTATTTCTCACGGTGAAAAACTATTTGTATTATATTTAATATGCCGCAGCGCCCCAAACTCTGGCCGCGCCGTTCTCACTGTGGAACCGGCAGGAATCAAGCGCCTCTCTTCTGGTGTTGTTTGTCTGGTGTTAGCCAATCAGACAATTCGTCTGGTGTTGTTAGCAGTCTCTCTGTAGTTTATACAGTAAAGGGGTATACTATCCAAATTATTCTGTAAATCTAGATCTCTGCTCTTTTTTTACTTTAATACCGGCATCGGCCCCCAAAAACCCATATCTGTTGGGCTGTACTGTTGGCATGCCATACTGATACAATTCTTCAGTGCTAAACCTTTGAAAAATACTATTTCATTGCCAGATGGTCTTATTTTGTGAAAATAGAAGAAAATGTTTACCTTACCTCTTGTCTATTCTGCAGATGCTGTTCTTCAGGAGTTTCCACAGTCAAGTGCCTCTGATGTGCGTGCAGCCATCAGACGCAAGTGTAATAATGAGCAGTTCAACCAAAAAAATCTACGTAATATGTAGTATGTATGTTTGTCAAGTGCAGTGGTGCAATGATTGATAATGTTTTATGGTGTTCCTCACTGTTGTTTATTTTCACAATTTCTACCTCAAGTCAGACGTGTCAAAAGTGTTTTTTTTTTTTTTTTTTTTTTTTTGGCTTCAGCCACCAAAACAGTGGACATAACGATTCTGATGTCACAGGGAATCTTTACAAAATATAAATCCCTTTTAGTTTGGTGAGTTAGCTGTTTTCTAAAATGCCTACATCCCCATAAAGCTAGTTAAACAGTCATATATCACCCACCTTATCTAAACATGACAGGTTTAAGGATACATAAGAGCACTGTTTCATATGTTAATCAATGGACTCTTATAAACACATGACTTTATTTACTGAATTTGGCTTGTCAGTTTGCAAGCTTTGATGTCTGGCCATAAGTTCTTTTGCGACTTCTTCTGTCCGTTATCTTAAGTAATACTGTGACGTTGAATTAAAACTATTCTGTCCTAATACTTTCCATAAGTTTCTAGAAAGTGTACTTTCTTTTTATTTTTATAATGTTAGTGTTAGTGTTGTATACTGTGTTAGTATTGGCAATGTACTATTAATACTGTGTTAGTATTTGCCACCATACAAATTCACCACACAGTGGACTCAATCACCTCCCTGTTATCGTTGTGAATGCCCAAACTATGACCAATAAAGTACTTTTTTCACCTGCAAGTGTGTTGAGTAGTCCCTTATTTAATTCAGCCTTCATACTGGTAGCCTACAATAGCTAACCAAAAAGTAACAGAGTAATAACATATATTGATAAGTAGCCAAAAAGTGTACTTTGTTTCTAATTTGAATAAACCCAAAGTAGAACTGAGCATACTATAATCACAATAATAATATTTTAAAAGTATAATGCTTTTATATTTGTAAGACATTCAAAGTGCATTTTAAATGTACTTCTAACACAGATATGGTACACTTAATGCTTATTAATCAAGCATGTATATCATTACATACAGCGATATACTTCAAGTATACAAAGTATACTTGAAGTGGTTCCATTTTAGCACGTAAAAGTACACTAAGTACACTTCAAATTGTGCTTTTCTACAATTAAATTACAACTAAAATATATTAAGTAAAAAATTAGTTGTTCCAAAATAGCATGCTTCAAGTTAAATAATCATTAACAAACTTGAAGTATACTGATGATTAGTCTGGCTTT